GGCCGCACACAAGATTTCTATCTACAAGTAGGTTACACGGCTACACGAGTACACAAGCCGCTTCTCTTACCACTTCCCGCTTTCCTCCTCCACTCTCTCTATTTCTTGCCTATCCGCAACCAGGAGGCGGGGCGGGCGTGGGAGGAGGAAGGGAGCTGCAGGCGAGAGACGTCAATCAAAATCCCCGCCCGCGCGGGGCGTGCAGCGGGAGGGGCATACGCCGCGAGGCTGGGATCCGGAAGGGGAGCCTAGCTGCACGAGCGCGCCTCCTCTGCAGCCTTGTGGAGCCATCCTGTCTTTTCTGATCCCGCCGGAAGTGTAGGTAAGAGACTACTCTCCTCTTTTCTCCTGGTGAGCTTTCGCCCAGCTGGCCGTGCAGCAAGGATCATCTTTTGAGGTGAAACCAGATATGACTGCCAGCCTGGAATAGTGAAGTAAACAGCTGGCTCCTTCCTGGGGTACAAAGGCTCGGAAGAGAGGCAGAGATAGTTCCTCACGTGGAGATGCGCGGAACTGCACTCTCGCGGGGTTGAGGAGTATGATCACAAGGCTCCTAGAAAGGTGTAGGCCCCGAACACATGTAGCGAGACAGACAACAACACTTGTGTCGAGATATTCCGTTTTCGCGTTACTCCTATGGTGTAAGACAGGTGACAACTCACGAAAGATGTGGTGACATGGTCCCCACCTTTGGGACATAATCTCCAACACAAGCTCAGAGGTACAGGTATCCGATTTAAGACTCACAGATCCGCATCGAGGCACCTTTTCCCTCAGGACAGAGGCTTCGCTATATCCCCCACCCCATACGTATAAAGGAGCCCAGAAACGTGTAATATCAGGAGGGAGGGAACCTTCTTCCCTGAAGTAGGGACCTAGAGCTCTCCCATGTCTCTCCCACTCCAGCAGAGAAACTAATTGTTGGAAGCTCTACCCCAACTGGTAAAGGGGCTGATCACCCTCACAGTAAATGATATTAGAGGCACAGACTGCTGCCTATGGAGAAACCACTCAGATTTACTCCTCTTCCTGGGCTAGAGTGTTACTATTGGGAGAATTTTCTACCCCATGAAGAAGGACTATTTTACTGAATTTGTAAAGGCCCTCTGCAAAAGTGCCTCAGAGAAAATAGGGAGAAGAGAGGATCAGATCTGCCTCTTCAAGGAGTCCCTAGGATAGAGGGACTCAGATTTATTCTCCTTTTGAGGTAGACCCAGACCTCCAAATTAGCCAAGGCGGAGACCTCGGTAAGAGGCAGTGACGTCATGATAGCGCTACCTTGCAGTACTTATGAACTCTCTCCTTATCCAAGGTAGGGGAGTTCAGATTGTTTTTCCTACCCAGGGTAAAATGGCAGCTGTTCCCCATCCCATGTAGTTGAAAATTTATTGAGTTTATGTTGTATTGCCCTTGTCTTCATCCCTACCCACGCAGAAAACGAGGCTCCATTCCCTTCAATGTTAAGTGTGCTGCTGACTTCAGCCACATAAAAGATACATGTATTGGCCAGGTGTGGTGGTGCACATCTGTAATCTCAGCATTTGGGAGGCTGAAGCAGGATGATCTCAAATTACATGCAGCTCTTGTTGCATAGTGAGACAATGTCTCAAAGAAAAAAAGAAAAAGAAAAAAGGTACATATACCATCCATCCCAGCCTAACGCCTACAGAACTGTTCAGAACAGCTCCCCCCTATTCATTCAAAGGTGCACAGTTTCCCTCTTTATTTGTTATGGCACTTAGGTCACCCTTTCATGGAATCAGCATAGTAGCCCTGTCTCACAGTTCTTTCAGGGTAGAGACCTAGGACCCCTTCCCAACAGTTAGAGCTATATAAACCTGTGTTTCTCAATGCAGCAGAGATGTACACAGCCATTATACTCTTTCCCCCAGTTACTCTGCACCCCAGAATACGACAGATGGAAAATCTCTTGCCCCCCCTTGTCAAGGTGCAGCCACATATGCAGGCACAGATTTCCCCCACCCACCTCATTTGCACTGACTTCAGTCCACATACATTCCCAGGTAAAAAGCCCTGTTCTGAGGCTTCTTACCTAGGGTAGACTCTTGGATTTCTCCCCTCCTCCCAGAGTAGATGGCACATAGACCCCCTACTTGGGAAAAGAGACGCTATTATCACCCACCCATGAAGAAACAGACCATCCTTGTATGCTCTTCTCCCCTCATGTGTGGATGGATTTTAGCACTAGTCCCTTACCTAGAATATAACACTACAATGTAGAGGAATAAGGATCAAGGACCCCACTCAATACACTGAGGCACCAACACCACCCAAAAAGAGAGGTTCAAATCTACTCCTTCCTTTGGGCAATGTGACACTACCTTCTCTGTGTGCATCAGCCATACCAGGCCCTAGCTCCTTATAGCCAGTTCTTAGTGTAACTAATTGCTAGGCCTTCCTCATCATGTTCTTTTGACATTTTATTTGCTTTAGGGGTAAAAGGGCATTGTGGTTTCAGATTTGTCCTAAATTGCTGCTTCTCCCATTATAAAGGAAGAAAGTGGGCTGATTTGAACACCTATTTCCAAACTGATTGGTCGTCATGATGAAGCTTAGACACAGTGAGTTTCCTTTACCCCTCCCTTCCTAATCCTCTACTTTCAGTGGCTGTTCATAGTATTTACAACAACTTTGATTTTTGTATTTTTGAGACAGGGTTTCACTGGGTAGCCTAGGCGGGCCTCCAACCGATGATCTTTCTGCCCCAGTTCCCAAGTGCTGGGTTTATAGGCATGTACCACCACACCTGGCTCACAACAGTTTTATTTTGGTAAGACTGGGGTTTGAAGTCAAGGCTTCACACTTGCAAAGCAGGCACTCTATAGCTTGAGCCACACTTCCAGTCTCACAATAATTTTTTTTAACCACATGATCAATTTGCAAAATAACAATTTTTTTTGCAATACTGGGGCTTGAACTCAGGGCCTTCACCTTGAGCCACTCCACCAGTCCTATTTTTGTGAAGGATTTTTCGAGATAGGGTCTTGCGGAACTATTTGCCCAGCTGGCTGAACAGCAATCTCCTTATCTCTGCCTCCTGAGTAGCTAGGACTACAGGTGTGAGCCACTGGGCCGGCTCAATCATAACAATTTTAAAGATGGCTGAGTATTTCCAGATCTCTCAGTCTGGGCCTGTTACGTATGTTATTGTTATTGTTGTCCTGACTTCCTTATAAGGTAATGTTCCCATTATCCCTATTCCCATTTTACAGATGAGAAATTGATCTGAGGTGAATAGTAGTAAATACTATGTGATGCTACCTAATATGCCCTAACATTTTCCTTTATGCTTAAGTTGGTATCATAAGGTGTACCAGTTGAACTGGGCGCTGATGGTTCATGCCTGTAATCCTAGCTATTTGGGAGGTAGAGATGAGGAGGATCACGGTTAGAGACCAGCCACGGCAAATACTTCTTCAGAGCCTATCTTGAAAATACCCAACACAAAAAAGGGCAGGAAGTATGGCTTCAAGTGCTAAAGCATCTGTCTAGCAAGTGTGAGGTCCTGAGTTCAAGCCCCAGTACCACTACCAAAAAAAAAAAAAAGTTGTACCAGTTGTACTCTGGAACCACACTGGGTTTGAATCTCAGCTTTCCCCCTCACTGTGGCCTTGGGGAAGTTATTTAACTCCATTTTCCTTATATACAAATTATTACATCTATCTAATAGCATTGTTGTGAGGATTTTTGTTTGTTTTTTGAGACAAAAACAAACTGTGTTGTCTAGGCGGTCTCAAACTTCTACCTCAGCCCCTGAGTAGCTGAAGTTGTGAGAATTTAATGAGTTCAAACAGGTAAAATGCTTGTAACAGTGCCTGGCACATTGTAAGCGCTCTCTGTAAGTCCAATCATCCCCTCGCATCCTTTGGAAACCGGTTCCAGGGTGCCCAGCAGATACTAAAATCAGTGGGCGCTCAAGTCCCTTATATAAAATGGCATAGTATTTCCATATAGCCTACCACATTCTCCTCTATATTTTAAATAATTTCTCCATTACTTACTATATCTAATACAATGTAAACTGTGGAAGTAGTTGTTATGCCATGTTGTTTAGGGAATCTGTTCAGTACAGATGAGACTTTTTAAAATATTTTTTATTTGAAGTTGGTTGAGTTCATGGATATGGAGGGCCAACTGTGTTGCAAATATTGGCTTAAAAAAATGCAGTGTCCTTATCAACACCAGGGAAAACTGTATTGCTATCAAAAACCACAGGGATGTAGATTGTGTCAATATATGAAAATTTAAGCATGAAATCATGTTAAGGGATTAAAAGCAGGAGCCAGAACAGTGTATGCCCCTAGTTATAAACAAGGAAATATGTAAGCTATCAATCAAGGAGACTCAAAGAAATTTCAGAAGATAGTAACAGAAGACACTGTTCATTATGTTCCTTTTTTGATAAAGTTGCTGGAATGTTGTAAAAGAAATGCAGTGTCCTTTGTCTTTGTCTGTGCTTTGTCTGCTCCCTTGGCTCAGCTCTAACAGGGTAGTCTGGCAGGACACACAGCAATTTCCCACTCCTACTAGGAGGGTATTCCCAAGAATAGGGCTAGCTCTTAAAGGCACGAGAGGATAATTTAAGAAAAAAAAAATTCGGTCTTGAGCTGGAATGTAGCTCAGTGGTAGAGTGCTTGTCTAGTGTGCTTGAGGCCCTGGTTCAATCTCCAGCATCAAAAATGAAAGACAAAAAAAGTCAGTCTTTTTATCTCTCTTTGGAGTTTTAATGTGCTGCTACCAACTTGTCTGATCTCTTCTGAGCTTTGGATTTTTCTTAACTATAAACAAATCACGTAGGTGAATTGGTGTTCTTTTTGCCTTTATGACTCTTTCCTTCCCTTATTCTTCAACTGAATAACGTTTGCTTTTTCTGATTTCAACTTACACATTGTTTGTTCTGGGAATTCCTGTTAAACTACTTCCTTGGTTTCCACTCTGTGCACCCACAGAAACTGGGGTTTCCACTCTGTGCACCCACAGAAAACTGCGGCTCTTGATCTGCATGATTAAATCTGTCTCTATTACTACGCCATGAACTTCTTTGTCCACATCTGATTCATCATTGTGTCCCAAGGGCCCAGCTTAACCAGGCAGTTTTTGGTACTTACTGTATGCAAGCAGTGGAGAATCTAAGTTAGTAGTGCCGACACAGTTTTTCCTCCTTCCACTATGATGCATGCAGCCTAGAAAAAGACAAACATGACTCAAAGACTCTTCCTTATAAAGGGAAGGCAACTATGTTAGGACAGTTCTACATCTGGGCTTCTTTATCTTTATCCTAACATGGTTAACAACAACAAAAAAAACAATAACACTTGAGTAGGCATGCTTGTTAGAATGAATGAGAATTGCACAACTCAGTAACCCTGTATTTTGTGTGAATGGTAGGGCTTCTGTAGAGCTTAGTAAAAAAGGAAATACAATACATTTGCTTTATATAATAATTAAAAAATTTCATCAAGAGCTGAGGGCATGGCTCAAGTGGTAGAAACCCTGCCTGGCAAGTGTAAGCTCTGAATTCAAACCCCAGTACTGCCAAAAAAATTTCATCAAGTAATAAAACTAACTGGGCACCAGTGCCTCACACCTGTAATCCTAGCTACTTGGAAGGCTGATAATTGGGAGGATCATGGTTTGAGGCCAGCCCAGGCAAATAGTTCGTGAGATCCCCATCTCCAAAATAACAGAGCAAAATGGACTGGAGGTGTGGCTCGTGTGGTAGAGCGCCTGCTTTGCAGCACAAAGACCTAAGCAAACCCAGGGCCACCAAGGAAAAAAAAAAAAGAAACTATGTTATAACAAAAGCAAATAATCATTTTTACAAGTAACGAGAAAAAAAAATCAGTTGTACTTTATTTAGGAACATCCGCCCGCAGAGCATCACCACTTGAGCAACGCATAAAGAACAGACAGGTTTCAACATGGATATTTCTGAAATGCAGTGGGAGCATATCACTTGTGTAAAATCAGGGACATTTCCAAAGAATTATATATTTTTTTCAGTTGTGCTCTCTTTAGTTAATTTTTTGGGAATAAGGATAAACCTGGAATAGACAGAAAAACTGAAAAAAAAAGAAATTACTAATAATGATGGAAAAAAACATAATTCACTTGTTAAGTAGGACACACATACACTTATACATATGTAACCCACATATACATGAGGAAGTATGTATGGAAAGACAATTTGGAAAAACTGTGCTGTATGGAAAGACCATTAGATAGAAAGAGTTCCAGGATTTGTTAAATGAAAAAAAGCCAGTTGCCAACAGGACTACATTATGTCACCGTTTATGGAGAAAATAGGGGGAAGTTAGAATATATATTTGAATTTGCATAAAACAAACTGAATGGTACTCAAACAAAGAATGTTTTTTGTGGCAGTGTGGGAGGGAGACCTCTCAAAATACACTTTGTTTTTTTCTGGTGTTGGGGGTCTGAACCCAGTGCCTTGTGCTGAAAAAGCCTTGTACCACTGAGCTATGTCTTCAGCCTCAAAACACATACTTGTTTTTGCTGGTGGAGTGGCTCAAGCAGTAAGAGAGCCTGCCTAGCAAGTGTGAGGCCCTGAGTTCAAACCCCAGTGCTGCCAGAAAAATGCAGCAATAAAAAAAAACACTTGATTGATTTTGATATGATTGTGATCTGTTAAAGATAATAGTTACCTAGCATGTGCAAGGCCTGGGTTTGAACCCCAGTACTGCAAAATTAAACAAAAACAAAATGAAGTATTATATACCTACATTAGTGGAAAAATTAAGTAGAAAAATTTTATAGGTCCACACAAAAATGAAGACCATTACTGGTAAATTGCAACTAAAGTAATGACCAGACTATCTGGGACAATTGCTGGGGAAGATGGAGAGAGTGCTATGTGGCACTGTTGTGGGAGTACAGCTGTCCCCTGGGTTGGGGATCCTAGGGCCCAAATAATGATAATGACTAAATCTGTGAAGGTAATTGGGTAGTCTTGCAAAGTGTTCAAATGTATTTTTTTTTTGGAGTGCTGGGGTTTTGCTTAGGCATATTAGGCAAGTTTCCTACCACTGAGCTATATTCCCAGACCCCCTAAATACAATTTTAGTTATTGAACAGTTTTGAGTGTTAAAGGGGGAGTGTTTTATCACTTAAAAATCTTAAGACCACTGGGTGTGGTGGCACATGCCTGTAATCCCAGCACATTCAACACTCCAGGAGGCTGAGGCAGGAAAATCGTGAGTTTGAGGCCATCCTGGGCTATGTAGTGAGACTCTGTCTTAAAAAAAGAAGCCCCCTCCACAAAAGCTTACAACTATCAGTGTTGGTGGCACAGGTTTATCATCCTGGCCTGCTTGCCAGTTGATTGACAAACACTGGTCAGTCAATTATCCTAGTGGGGTGAGAAGGGCAGGGAATGTAGGCTTTGTGCAAGAGTGTATTGTTAATGACAAACTGTAGAATGTTAACTGGACAGGGAGGGGTGGGAGTGGCTGGTGAATAAGGAACTGAGTAATGGATTTGGGTCTCCAGGAGGTTGGACAGATGAGTTCGAAGATACGAGAGGGGTGTTTGAGACTGCTTTCAGAAGATTGAGCAGTTAGGTGTGATGCAGCCATTTGAATGAATGGTTGGGTGACTTGAGATGGAATGGGGATCCCTAGAAGTGAAGATATCAAGGAAGTGAGATAACCTAGGCAACAGACACTACAGCATGGCAAGGGCCTCAAAAGAGCAACAGTTAAAAAAAACACACTCACACACATTAGTTTTTTTCTTTTTCTTTTTTCACTTTTTAACAAGAAGGAGAAATAGGTCCAGTCTGACAGTGGTGAATTTGGAGGATACCCTCTACCTACTGGCCCAAGACAGAACAACCACCCTTTGAGAGGCGTGTAGTGAAGCATTGTTCTTGGGAGAGCCAAGACTGAAGGCAGGAAGTTGAGAAATTGTTTCCAAGGAGAGGTTAAAGAATTAGGGGTATGCTGGTCACCCGTGTGGGAGTTTCAGAGGATCAGACAGGAAGTATGATGCCAGGGCCCAGGGGTATGGGCAGATACACACAGTGCAACTATGGGTAAGCCAGGGACATGGAGATGAGAGTATGGGGCTGAGGGATGAATGAATGGTGAAATCTGCCTTTGAGTATTGATGTAAGTTGGTGATTTTAGGTCTGGATATTGATAAAGACCGATATTGAGGCTCAGGAGATTAAACATTTGTTCAGCCCAGTGTAGTAGCATGCATCTGTAGTTCTGGCTATTCCAGAGGCTGAGGCAGGAGGATCACTTGAGCTCAGGAGTTTAAGGCCTTCCTGGGCCACACAGAACCTCATGTAAAAAAAATTCTTCAAGGTCGTATAGATAGGTAGCTGTATTCTTTTTTGAAGCTTTTGAAAAGCCAATGATCAGAGACTCCTGAGTACTACAGTGCTGTGAGTGATGACTGACTGACTGCATCTCTCTTCTTCTTTCCTCCCTCTCTCCTCCCCTTCCTTTCTTCCTTCTGAAGCAGATGCTTAACCCCCTCTCTGAGTGATGTATTTTCTTTCATTGTGTGCCTGTGTCCGGTGCAGGGGCTCAGTTTCCAGGGAAGTTCGGCATATGGAAATTGTTGAATTAAATGGCCAGACGTAGGCCCATTCCTTTTTGTTGCAACATGAGTACTTTGAAAGAAAAGGAAACTTGGGGTCTGTTTTTTGAAGCAAGGAAATTTGACACATTCGTATTCGTTATGGTAACTAATATGTGTGTCAAATTTCTATTTTTGTCTGATTAAATTTCTACATCTTATTTTATATTTGTTGTTTGTTTCCTCTTATTCTCTTATTTTTGTTAAGCTGAAAAAAATTTCAAATAATCCTCTACCAGTAATTAAAGTCACATTAGGAATTAGATTCATTTATGTGTCACACTTAATTAAACCTGTATTTCTGTATCATGTTACCAAAGTTAAGTACCAGCTATTTTGGTCCTAGCCTTCCGGAGTGAAACCTTTAGCATGCTTTTGCTTTTCCTATGCCCATAGCTTGATTCGTGGAGTTTGCTGAAATTGGTGTTTTAGTTTGGAGCTATTCCCTTAGATATGCTTCCTGGATTTTAAGAGTACTCTCTAACACACCAGCTTGCTTTCTTTGTTTTATTGATAAATTTTAATAGATTTCCTGCCTACCACTATTTGTTTCCTTTACCTTGCAGTCTTTAATTTTTACTTTTGTCTTACTATTATCATTTTTATGGTACTGGGGATTAACCCAGGGCCTCGTGCATGCTGGGCAAACACTAAACTACTGAGCTACATCCCCGGCCCTCATTTTAGTGCTGTATAGTGAACCCAGGCCCTTGTGTATGCTAAGCACACACTCTACTACTAAGCTGTAGCTACATCCCCAGCCCTTATTTTTTTCCCAGTAATTTTACCAGAGAGGAAACACAAGTGGTAATCTTTGCACATCTAAAGATTCTCTTTCAGTTTCACATAAGAGTGATCTAGGGACTGGGGATGTGACTCATGTGGTAGAACACCTGCATAAGAAGTGCAAAACCCTTAGTTCGAATCCCAGTACTGTCAAAAAAAAAAAGTGATCATTGGTCAGATAGAAAGATTTGGCTTGAGAATAGTTCCTTTTCTTAGAACTTTGTACAAGCTGAGCATCCCTGATCTGATGCTCCAAAATCTGAAACTTTTTGAATTCCAGCATGATGCTACAAGTAGAAAATTCTACACTGCGAAATTGTCTTATACACAAAGTTACTGAAAAATACTATATAAAATTTACCATAAGGCTGTGTGTATAAGATATATGTGAACATAAATGAATTTCATGTTTCAGCTTGGGTTCCTTCCCTAAGATACCTCATTGTGTGTATGTAAGTATTCCAAAATCCGTAAAAAAAAAAAAAAACAAAAACAAATCCGAGACACTTCTGATCCCAACTATTTTACATAAGGAATAAGTATTCAGAGTTGTAGATTTCAGAATGCTGTTTGCTTTTCTTTTGTTTCTTGGAAACTCTTGTTTGAAAGCATTTAAAATGTTTCCTTTATCCATGAAGTTCAGAAGTTTTATCAGGAGATGCTTTGGATATATTTTTTTTGTTCAATTTTTGGTAGTGCTGGAGATCGACCAGGGCCTTGTGCATGTTAGGCATGTGTTCTACCTCTGAGCTACATTCCCATCCCTGGGTTAATCTTGATGCTCTGTGCACCTTTCCAATCTGAAATTTCCTGCCTGTCTTCAATATAAGGAGCTATGTATTTTTAAGAAAATTATTGCTTCTTCATCTGTACATTTTTCTCTTTCAAGAATTCTTGTTATTTAGATACTAACTTTATTCTCTACTTTAAAGTTTTCTATTTTCATTCATAATTTCTATTTCTTTGGATTTTGTTCCAAGTAAACTCCTTCCCTTGGTCTTCAAGCTTATTAATTTAGTTGTTAGTGGCATCTGTTCTGTTTTTCACTTCATCTATTGCTTTTTTATTCAGTATCAAGTTTTGTGGTCTTTTATTTGTTAAGACTGCTGTACATTCAGAGAAACTTCTGTAGTAATAGAATATAGGAATGATCCCTATAAGTACAGCTGTAAGTTTTGGGAATCTTTTTCTCCCACAGTTTCTTTGACATATCTTCTTGAGTTTCCTCAAGAATTTGCAGTAGTACTTGAGTTCTGTTTCCTATGTTAACTCTGCTTTGGTGCTTTGATGTGATTGTGGGAGTCTTTTTTGTGTGTATGGTAATCTCAAGCTGCACATGTACTTGTTTGTGTATATCTTGTCCTTTTAGAACCTCCCTCCTCCTTTAGCCCCCTGGAAGGGTGGGAGAATTGAGGGAAACCATTCTTCCCCAGGAGGCCAGCTGTGAAGGGAATGACAGATGAGACTTCTCTTTCAAGCAGGGAAATGCCTGAGTTCCTGGGCTTTGTTAGGGCATGATTGTAGAAGAGGCAGCTCTCTCTGCCTTGGGTCAAGGGAGGCAGCAGTTGAGCTAAGTAGGTCAAGATCCTTTGGAGGCAGTGGCCTGAGGAGGGGTAGTTCTTCCTGCATGTTCTGAGAGCATCTACCCAGGCTTAGCCTAGAACTCCTCAGATCACCTTCCTATGCTGCCAGCTCCTCACCTCAACCTGGCACTGAAATTGTTTGAGGAGCCCAGAGTAGGAATTTGGAGGTGGGAGAAAGAGAGTCATAAGCACATATTCAGGCCATTCTATACAATTCCCTCTAGAATTGTTTGAGTTTACATTGAAATAATTCTCTAAATTGTATCCAGCATTTCCTTTGCTGCTGGTGTTGCCATCTATGTCTCTTGTGCTGGATCCAGACAGGTACCTTGTCTGAGGATTCTTAGGTGTTTCCAGTGTGGCATGGCCTTGATTAAGGTGTCAACAAACATTGGATAGATGGGTGATGGCTCTTTTTTGTTTTTTTTCTTTTTTTTGTAGAAAATAAAAAGACAGGTAAAGGCTCCAAAGTCTGCAAGAAGGTAAGTTGGCTCTACCTTCAGATGAGGTATGCCCATTATTGGGGGTCAGGTCAGTAGATATTGGGTCACTCTGGGCAGAGCACCACACTGTAGTTAGTACATCTGGCCTTTTCTCCCTCTCTGAGTGACCAAAGCAGAGTCAGCAGCATATATTAAGTTCCCCGTACAAGCCATTTGGTTTTCTTTGTGCTTGATTTATCTTGGTAGGGATTATTGTCATCCCATTTTTCCCCCAGTGCTGATCAAATCCAGGGCTTTGCCCATGCTAGACAGTGTTGTACCACTGAGCTACACCCTCAACCAAATAATTTGTATTTCTAGCAAGTTCCTAGGTCCAAGGATCACATTTTGGGAGCTATATGTTTAGAGGGCTTTTCCTTTGGCTTTCTGAAACCTTCCCAAGCTGCCCCTGCCCACACCACTTTCCTGGAGTTCTTCAGTTAGTCCCTTGCTGTGGAAAGAAGGTCACTCTCCAGCCAGACAAGCAGATCTCTGGGGACATAGCCCTTTTTGCCTACTTCTTCCCCTCCTCCCTACAACTATACTTCTCTGGCAGGTTTAACCACTGGGGAGGAGGGGGTGGCGTGATTTCCATGAGTTCATTAATTCTGATTTTCTTCTCTTGCATGGTGACCAGCCTGCAAAGCAAAATGGGAAGAAAGCAACCTCCAAAGTGTCCTCTGCTCTCCACTTCGTTCATGGCAATGATCATGCCAGTCGGGAGGCTGAGTTGAAGAAGAAGAGGGTGAGCCCTTTACCTTGGGGGGGAGAGAGAGGACCTAGCTTGAAAGTTGGGTCTGCAGAAGTGTTGGCTAGACTGCTAGACGGGCAGAGGCCAGAGTCATTAGGATTCTATAGGCAGTTTGTGGATGATGGAAGGGAGGGAGGGAGATCACCTTGATTCTAGATTTCTGTCTCCATTTGCTCCCCTCCCCTTCAACTCCCTATCCACTGCTGTTTGGCTTCTGTTCCCACTGATGCACTGCAAACATCCCTCCTGGCCTCTCCACCGCCACCCCTTGTATCACATTAGTACATACTTTTCTTTTCCTCATTTTAGTGGAATTCTCAACGTTTGAGAACATGCTTTCTCTGAGGCTCGGATTTTTTGACTTTTGTCATGTCATGCTTCTGGATGTCTCCTCTCTCCTTCACCAGCCTGTTTTAGTCTCTTGCTGCTCTTTCCCCTTCCTGTTTTTGTTTGTTTGTTGAGGTAGGCTCTCACTATGTTGCTCAGGTTGGTCTTGAATTCCTGGACTCTAGTGATCCTTTCACCTCAGCCTCCTGAGTAGCTGGGACTACAGGTGTAGGCCACTGCATCTGGCTTCTTCTTGCTTTTAAAATGATGGAACATCTCAGGACCTTGTCCTCTTTCTGCATCCCTCAAGTGGTTCTCTCCACCTAGAATGCATTCTTCTGCTTTGCACATCCTCTTTTTATTTTTTTTCTGAAACTCCTCCTTCCTTCATCTCTTTTTCTTCTTCTCAAATACTCTTGTCTCTCGCTGTCCTGCCTTGTACTCCTGCTCCTCCTACCTCTGCCATGTCACCCATTCATTCCTTAGGCTGCAGACCCAGTCAGCTACAGTCTGTGTGTGTGTTCACTTTTTAGGTTGAGGAGATGAGGGAGAAGCAGCAAGCTGCGCGGGAACAAGAGAGGCATAGACATAGGACCATTGAGAGCTACTGTCATGATGTCCTGAAACGCCAGGAGGAGTTTGAACGCAAGGTAAGGAGAGCAACCTTGCGCCTGGGTGGGATTAGTATGAGTTTGTTGTAATGCTAAATGAAAAGAAAGAGTGTGAGGTTTCGTGGAGGGAAAGGAAAGAATGAGTGAAGAGAAGAAGAAAACACTGGGGACACTGGGAGGCAGGGGTGGATGACAGGGAGATAAAGGGTTATTCTGAGCCTTACCTGGGACTGAATATCCCTCGAGACTGCCTCTCCCAAACTAGAACCTAAAGACTAGGAGTGGCAGTGGAGTCGGTGGCCAGGAGAAGTATGACCAGGGGAGGTTGTTGGGGAGAAGGAGTGAGAGTATGAAGGGAGGATTGAGAAACAGAGGAACATGTGTGAGGGATTTCACCTTCCTTCTGGGCCTTCTTGCTGCCTTTTGGCATCTGTTCTTGTCTCACACACAAAATATGCACTTGCCAATTCAGATTCCCTTCTCTGATTTACAGTACAGATTTGCCTCTCCCATCCATGTTCCCATAGATTGTTTTTTCTCACACCCTTCTCTCACATATGCCTGTGCACCATGTGGGTCTATATACTCCTGTTTTAGATCCCAGCTTTTTTTTTCTCTTTTGGCCATACTGGGGGTTGAATTCAGGGCCTCACACTTGCTCGGGTAAGCAATCTACCTCTTGAGCCACTCCACTAGCCCCTTTTGTGTTATTTTTGAGATAGGCTCTAGCTTTATGCTGGGGCTGGTCTAGACTATGATCTTCCTATTCGTGCCCACCACCCCATCCCCTCCACCCCGACCCTCCCATAGCTGGGATGGCAAGCACATGTGACATTGTGCCCAGCCATTGGTTGAAATGGGGGAATCTTGCAGTCTTTTTGCTTGGACTGGTCTCAAACCAAGATCCTCCTAATCTCTGCCTCCTGAGTAGCTAGGATTATAGGCTTGAACCACCTTTCCCGACAGATTCCAGCTTTTTTTGGTGGTCAAAGTTACTTTTAGGTGGACTGAGACTCCTGTGGTTTCCAAAATCAGGGTATATTTCTCTCTCTCTTCTCTCTTCCTCTTCCTCTTCCTCTCTGTCCTTCCTTGCTTATGTTACCTCTCTTCCCATGCTCTCCTTCTTCCTGTTGATCATTTTCTTTTCTCCTTTAGGAGGAAGTTTTGCAGGAATTAAATATGTTTCCTCAGCTGGATGATGAAGCCACAAGGAAAGCTTATTACAAGGAATTCCGAAAGGTACAGGATCCCAATCTATTTTCACTTCCTTTCCGTTTCTTTTTTACTGACTGAGATGGACCTTTTTTTTTTCATGGTCTTGTGTGACTGCTACCCAGTCTTTTTCCTGCCTTTATCTCCCCTGTCTGCTGTCTCTTCCCCACCCCATCCTCTGCCCTGCAGGTGGTGGAATACTCTGATGTGATTCTGGAAGTTCTGGATGCCAGAGATCCTTTGGGCTGCCGCTGTTTCCAATGGAGGAGGCTGTCCTGCGGGCAGAAGGCAACAAGAAGCTCGTCCTGGTTTTTGAACAAAATTGGTAGGTGTTGGGCAGGTATGGATAAGGCAGCAAAGGGGCCAAACATTCTCAAAAGAGTAGCTTGGACCAGACACTGAGACCCAGAAACTTAGTAGTATTCATAATAGTCACGTAAGGTAGGAATTCTTGTTCAAGTTTTCAAAGCCCGGAATATTTGAAGACACATAGAGTTCGGCACAAGGTGGGCTTGAAGCCTGTCTGCCTTTCAGTTCCCTCTTCTTGGCATTGAGCCATTCCTGTGACTGGACAATCCCAGTGGCCTCCTGTCTCCTCCTAAGCTAGAACCCAAAGACTGGTGCAAAAAAGAATATGGACTTGGGAGTAACTGAGGTCTGGGTCTTTTCATACTTGTGCTATTTTCTCTAACATTGGACAAGTCGTGTCATTTCTGAGAGCTCCTGTTTTCTCTAATTGTAAATGGTCTCAGCTCATAGATTTGTTGTGAAAATTAATGACAAAGTGCTTGGTATGTGGTCAATACTTCACAAACAATAGCCATTCTGTGATGATTATTCTTGACATTTGGCCCAACCTAGAGTGATCCAGAGAGAGGATGGGAAATACAGTCTTTGGGAGGTCTCTGGCACACTAACTTGGAAGGAAGACATCTGGGACCAAATAGCTAGTTTGTGCATTTTCCCTGAGAGAATAAGCCACCTCAGGGAGAGCCAACTTCCCATAGATAAGACTGTCCTTTTGTAACTCCAGCATAGGAACTGGCTGGGGAGTGAAAGGGCCAGTGGAGAAACCAGTTGGCAGGAGGTGGGCCTGGCCTCCTGTGTTTTAGAGCGAACCATGGAGGGGCTGTCCTCCTTAACAGTCCCACATGTTCCTGTTTTCCCCAGACCTGGTTCCCAAGGACATTGTGGAGAAGTGGCTGGATTACCTTCGAAATGAGCTGCCAACTGTGGCTTTCAAGGCTAGCACCCAGCATCAGGTTAAAAACCTGGTAAGCTTGGGGTCAGGGGCATGTAACCTCTTTCAATGTAGCCTGGGGCCAGGGTTGGGGGGAAGGGGGTTATGACTTGGAATGGGCCCTCCAGCTCTGTAGTAATTGAATTGGGCTTCAATTTTGAGCTTTTTGTGTCTTCATTTTAATTTCTTTTCTTCCTGTATCATTGCCCTTTAGGAAGTATGTTTTTTTCCCCAGCTGTAAGGATAATACATCCTATCTTAGGAAATTTGGAAAATATAGTTAAGTACTTGTTAGTTTTTCTGAAAATACATACTTCTGTTTATTTTTCTTTTGAGAATAGATTATAATACTTCCTAATGATATCATTACTATAGAAATACATTTTCATTATAAAATATTTCAGTGTTGCAGAAATATTGGTTGCTTCTAGGGAGAGAAATTGGGTGTTGGGTGACACGTTTCAATTTTGTACTAGGTATTAAACTTACTTCTTGCAGTGCTGGGGATGGAACCCAGGGCTTCTGTATGCTAGGCAAGTGCTGTACCACTGAGCTATTCTTCAACCCCTAGTTTCTAATTTTTCATCATTATAACCAGGGCTTCGCTTCTACAAATATCCTTGCATATGTCCTTGGCATGTGGGCAAGTGTTGGTGTTGGTTAGGTACTGAGAGATGGTACAACTGGGTCATCCATAGGCTTTATGCATTTTACACTTTTCTAGACTGATAAATTGTTCTTCATAATGGCTGTACAGTTTGTTCTTCCATCAGTGGGTAGATGAATGTATGAGAGGGCCTCTCTTCCCTACACCCTTGCTCACACAGAGAGGAAAAGAGAGGAAAAGCCCTGTATGGGAGGGGTCACAGAAAGACTGAGTCCCTAAACTTTTTACTTTTATAGCACATACCTTTTTATTCCCAGGGTCATGTGATTGGTTCTCTCTCAAATCAACATTTTCCAGACAGAAATTTCCATATAAACAGGGTCAGTCTACATTGAATTTATTTAGATGGCATGGAACTTTTTTTTTTGGCAGCACTGGGGCTTGAACTCAGGGCCTCATAGTTGTTTGGCAGGTGCTGTACCACTTGAGCCACTCTGCCAGTCCTTTTTTTTTGTGTCAGGTATTTTCTAGATAGGGTCTCGCAAACCGTTTGCTTGGGCTGGCCTTGAGCCATGATCCTTCTGATCTCCGTCCCCTGGGTAGCTGGGATTATAGGCCTGAGCCGCTGGCGCCCAGTGGCATGAAACTTTTAAGTCTTTGAGAAACACAATATATCATTTATAAATTTTTGGCCTTTTCTCTGCAGTGTCAGGGATCAAATTTGGGTCTTGTGTATGCTCAGGCAAGTGTTCTATCTCCAAGCTACACACCCCAGCCTAATTTTTTGGCCCTTTTGATTGCAAACATGTTGTAAACATCCTTTTCGAACAACTGTATTCCATTTGTGTTCCTTAAGGGTATGCCTTTTGAGCCTGTTTCTTATTGATGGATATTTAGGTTAATTTCAATTTTGTGATATTAGAAACAATGCTGTGGAGGATAAAGGAAGAGGAAGGGCAGCCTGGGCAGAGGAGGTCACATTAGGAATAAAAATACGGAGACTGGGATGGTTTTGTACTGTGTGAGGAGTCAGGGAAAGTAGCCTGTAAGCTGAGTACCATCTCATCCCTGCTGAAGTAGGAGGGAGGGCAGGCATTCCTGTTGTGCACATGAGGGTACCGAGGCCAGGAGATCCTGAGTGTTTCCCTGCAGGAGAAATCTGGGCTCAGATGCCTGTTCTGTACTATCTCTTGTTTTCCAGAACCAGTCCACTGTGCCAGTGGGGCAGGCCTCTGAGTCACTGCTGAAAAGCAAAGCCTGCTTTGGAGCTGAGAACCTCATGAGGGTTCTGGGGAACTATTGCCGCCTGGGTGAAGTACGAACCCACATCCGTGTGGGTGTCGTGGGTAAGGCCTAGTAAAACAGTCACGGGGCCTGTTCTCCTTCTTCAGCATATACTTTATTGGGGGAAAGGATCCTGGAAACTGTGTGTTGCCTCTTTATGGAAGAAGGGAGTGGTTCTAGGAGGGTTTTGTGATTTATAATTTGGATAGGGGGGCATGGGAAGGCATACTTAGAATCATCACTGTGTATTGAGTGTTAGAACCATGGACCAAATACATAGTGCCAGGTTTGGAGTTGGTACTGTCTCATCCTGTCAGAGTTAATGGGAGGGAAGCATGACCATCTTCCTTGCACAGATATGAACACTGAGGCCAAGAGAAGGAAAAAGGGACTTGTGGAGCTCAGCACTATGTGAGACAAGGTAGAGCTGAGGCTCAAATCTGGGCCTTTCTGAAATCCATGATACCAAGAGAGGGATCATGAGAGGGGAATAAGGAAATTGAGAGAGGCAGAGGCATTATCAGGGAAAGTGAAGCTAAGAGAGAGACACATCAGAGAGAGAGTTGGACACTGGGAATACATAGATATGCATACTTGAATAGACACACAGGAAGGCAGAAAAAGAACAGGGAAGCCAGATGGCAGGGTTGGCGGGGGAATGGAAAGTAGAGACAAATTCAAGTTACAGAGTCATGGAGAGAGAGGGGAGGAGATACAACCCAAAAAAATGCTAGAAGGGACATTGAAAGGCGCATGCATGGAGACCTGCAGGGACATAAGAAGGATAGAGACAACCTGTGTATATAGATGTGCAGGCATATGTACCCAAAGAAAGAACTTAGACACAGATTGAGATTTGAGAGAGGTAGACATAGATGTAGAAGAACACATAAAAGTAGACTAAATACACATACGGATCCACAAACACACACGTAGCATCATGTACAGAACCAGAGGAGGCACATGTGAAGATACAGACTCAGAGGCAAAATGCATGCACATCAAGTCCTATCCACAATACTCATCCTAGCTCTGCTTCACCAAAGCAAACAGAGCCACACATGTGCCCAGATACACTATTATCCTCTGACACAACCCAGAGTCACAGAGATACAAATACACATGTCTATGATAAGACAGATGAATGTACTTGTGTAGAGAGAGATTGAGGCACAGAGAGAGAGGGATAGGAAGACACAAAGAGAAAAAGAGCCTCAGTGACACAGGTATAGGGAGTATACACACAGAGAGATGGGCCCCAGAGAGGAGGAACGTGGTTAGCAAGAGACTGACAGGAGTTAGCATAGAAAGAATTACAAAAAAGGCAGAATTGGGGTGGCAAGAAAGGACAATGGCCAGAATGAGAAAGAGATGCTTAGATAAGACATACACAGAGAAATAGAGTTGCTAGAGACATAAAAGCCATCATATTTGAAATGAGAATGACCAAGAGACACACTGAAAGAGAGAGGTGTAGAGAGACTTCCAGGTTGGGGATGGGTAACTCCAGGCACATATATGAGAGAGTAGTAGTAGTAGACACTGTTAAATTCTCATTCACATTGAAAACAATGAGAATGAGAGATCCATTGAGGGAGAAACACATAAAGATATCATGGGCTGAAAGCAGCTCATAGGTGCCTAAATACAAAAACAGACCATAGGCAAAGACAGCTGCACAGAGAGACCAGCATCTGGACATGAATCCCTTCTCCCCAGGGGGAGTACGCACCAGAACAGATGGTTTTCTTTTTCATAGACTCTTCCTGAAGTCTACCTTCTATTGGATCATGTTTGTGAGACCTTGTATTGAACATTTCTCCAGGCTGGTTGTTGGTGGGAGGTCAGTGTCACATTTAGAGGGACAGGTCTACTCAGTTAGCTGTTCACTAAAAGAGGAAAGAGCTAGAATGATCCTGTAGGGGCTTGGGCAGGGCCTGGGATGGAAGGCAGAAGCCAGGCTCTATTTTTGACTTGTTCATGGCCTGGTCACTGCCCCTGCCAGGGCCTTACTCACACAGGCTGGCCTGAATGTTCCTGGGGGTTCTTTCTGCCCTGAGCTATCTGCTGCTACTTTGCAGGTCTTCCCAATGTTGGCAAAAGCAGTCTGATCAATAGTCTGAAGCGCAGCCGTGCATGCAGTGTGGGAGCTGTTCCTGGCATCACCAAGTAAGCACCTGCTACTTCCCTACTATACAACTCCTTGATAATTACCATTTCTCCCATCCCTCATGTCTTCAGCTCCCATTACTTTGCTAATTTTGGACCATTTTCTGATTCTTCCCCTGGCATGGTAATCCCACTAAAAGTCCTCATGTACCTGACACCTCCTAGTGGTGGTAGGTACTGGCTCCCCACTGGGTGCTTCCTCATTAGCTTCTTTTTTTTCAATGATGGGATTTGAACTCAGTGTCTCACACTTGCTAGGCAGGCACCCTACCACGCCACTCCACCAGCCCTTTTTTTGTTGGATATTTTTAGAGATAGGGTCTTGCAAAGTATTTGCCTGGGATGGCTTCAAACCCCAATCCTCCTGATCTCTGCCTGCCAAGTAGCTAGGGTTATAGGCTTGAGCCACTGGCTCCTGGTTCCTCATTAGCTTCTTGAAGCCCCCTAAGCACTGTGCAAGATTGGACCACTCGTGCATAGCTATATTGCTTAGATGAAGCAGCTGAGGCCCAGAGAGTCAGAAGAGTTCCCAAGCTCCCACAGCTTAGTCCTCAATGGCAGAGGCTAGATTTTAGAATTAGTCCTAGGTCTGTGGGGCCCCAGAACTCCCTGGTTCTATTTCTCTCTACCTCATCTGTAAGGCTCTCTCCCCTCACTCCTTTACCTTCCCCCAACCTCCCCAGGTCCATCCTTTGTGGCTGGATGCCAGAAACATCCAGGCCTCCTTTCTTCTCTCTTACTCCCAGGTTCATGCAGGAAGTTCACCTGGACAAGTTCATCAGGCTGCTGGATGCTCCAGGCATTGTCCCAGGACCCAACTCAGAGGTGGGCGCTATCCTGCGCAATTGTATACATGTGCAGAAGCTGGCGGACCCTGTGACCCCGGTGGAGACCATCCTGCAACGCTGCAACTTAGAGGAGGTATGCAGCAGGGCCCCTGGTGGATGTCCTTTCTTACTGTTCCCAGAGAACTCCACTTTTCTTTTTCTTTCTTTCTTTTCTATTCTTTTTTAAAAAATTTTTGTGGCAGTACTGGGGATTGAAGTCAGGGCCTCAAGCTCACTAGGCAAGTGCTCTACCACTTGAGCCATGTCCCCAGTCCTTTTGCTTTTTGTTCTTCAGATAGGGTCTTGTGCTTTGGCCCAGGCTGGCCTCAGACTGGGATCCTTCTGAGTAGCTAGGATTACAGGCATGCACCACCATGCCTTATAGCACTCCACTGTTCCTCATGACTTCTCTCCTTCCTCCCTTTACCAGATTTCCAACTATTATGGTGTATCTGGGTTCCAGACCACTGAGCACTTTCTGACTGCAGTAGCTCACCGCTTGGGGAAGAAGAAGAAGGGAGGAATATATAGTCAGGAGCAGGCTGCCAAAGCTGTCCTGGCTGACTGGGTGAGGTGAGGAAGGGGCTAGCATGAGGCTTGTTGGGAGGCTGGCTCTACCAGGGCTTATATGTGTTCATTGCTGCCAGTGGGGCTGCCTGACTTCCAGGGTCCAGTGGTCAGAGACAGCTGAGGCACTAGCACATGTCTCGCTCGGGGCTTTATACTCAGTGATTGATTATCCAGCAACTAAGCCCATTATTGTTCATAAGCCACTGTCTGTGTTTTCTTGTTCCTTAGTGTTTTCTGTTTTGCACATTCATCCTCTTTTTGATTGGTCATTTGTTCTTTTAATGATATCACCAACACTCTCCCACCACCTCCTAATGCAGTGGGAAGATCAGCTTCTATATACCACCACCACCTACCCACACTCTGCCCGCCCATCTCAGTGCTGAGATTGTTAAGGAGATGACTGAGGTCTTTGACATAGAGGACACCGAGCAGGCCAATGAAGACACAATGGAATGTAAGTGTGAATGGCTAGGTGCACTTGGTCTTATCCTAGTGGAACCACCTAGACCTGATGACTGATCCCACATTTGATCTCCCCTCCCTTATCCCTACTTGGGCTCTGGATAGGTTTAACCAGCTTTAGGATTAATTTAATCTCCTGTAAGGTAGAGTGTTCTAATCTGAGCCATGAGGAGTTGTTGGTGGTGATGGTTGTAAGCTTTTGGTAGATAGGAAAGTCCACAAAGTATCTGGTTAACCCCTTAAGGTGCTCTGGAAATAAGAGGCTCCATTCCAGTCTCTTGGGACCTGGAGTGGATTTAAACATTCCTACCCCCCTTTTTTTTGTGGTACTGGGGTTTGAACTCAGGGCTTCATGCTTGCTAGGTAGGTGCTCTACCACTTGAGCTATGCCCCCAGCCAAAATATTCCTTTCAATAGCCCCCTTTTGCAGGCATGGTGGTTCATGCCTATAATCTCAGCACCCAGGAGACAGGTGGGAAGATCCAAGTTCAAGCCACCCTTGTTGCATAGTGAGAGTCTGTCTCCAAAACCAACCAAACAGAAAACTCCTTTTTTCTACTGTTGCCCTAGGCTTCTTCACAATCACTTCAGATGCATTCCTAGATTTTCCTTCTTATCCGTACTGGTCAGTGAAGTCTCCAAGTCACAGAAAGGTTGCATTGGCCAAAAGGCACATAGATAGTGGCAGGCAGGGTTAGCTTTGGAACCAGCTCTTCTGCCCCGTTGTCTTAAGACTCCTAGCTCAGAGTAGCTATGTGGTTAAAAGTATGGACTGCCTGCATTCAAATCCAAGCTTTGCTCTGTATTAGCTATGTGATGTTGAACAAAGTATTTCACTTTTCCCTGTCTCAGTGACATCATTTATAAAATAGGGGCAATAGAACCTACTGTATAAGTCGTCTTGAAGATTTATTTAATGTGTAAAAGAGGGGCAAAGGGCATAGCTCAGTGGTACAATTCATGCTTAGCATGTACAAGGCCCGGGATTTGAACCTTGGCACCAAAAAAAAAAATGTAGAACAACAGTCTGGCGTAAAGTAAAGAAATGTTCGTAAATGTTAGCTGTTATTTGCTGGAGTATATAGAAACTTGTGAGAAAGTTTCTTCTCTTCAGGCACTACCCCTGCAGCTCTGGCATATGGCTCCTGCTTCTTTCTCTACCCTGTCCAAGAAAGGTACCCATTGTTCCCTGGGCCTATGTGTAGACACTCTGTGGTGGTTGAGAAAGGCCTGGCTTCTGGTTTCTGTTTCTCTTAAGGGCCAGCCATTTTCCTTCTCTGAGTCTTCTTGTGTCGTTGGATTACTAATAAGTTTAAGAGGACTTGCCTGCTTCCTAGTTTATTGCTTCTGTGGCCTCGGGCAAGTCAGCCCCTTGCTGAACTTTTGTTTCTGCTTTTATCAAGTGGACAGTTGAGAGAGATTAGAGCTCATGTTCTTTTGAAGCTTGACCCTGAACGTAAGGGCAAGAGGGACTCTATCACTGAGAACATGTTTTACCAAAAGATTGAGGTGTGGGGAATTGAGAAGGTAGGGAAGAGGTTAGTGGTGAAAGGTTTTGGGAGGAGTTGGTACTAGCACTGGATCTTGAAGGGTGAGTAGACTCAGGGAGTCGATTGGGGTCAAGGTTGTAAAGCTAAAGCAGGTGTGAGGATAGCTAGTGTGGCACAAGGCAGCAGGCATATCTGAGGGTTGTGATGGAGGCCCACTCTCTGCAAGAGGCCAAAGGGAGGAGGAGTCTTTTTTGGTCCTAGGAAGAGAATCTCATTGGCTGCCATTTACAGAGCAGCATTGCTATTGGGCCAGAGTATTTCAGGTGTTTTCTGCTGAGTCTCACAGCAGTCTTGTGAATAGGGCTTGTGGAACTCCACCCCACCTTTTTGTGGTACTGGGGTTTGAACTCAAAGCCTACACCTTGAGCCACTCCACCAGCCCTTTTTTGTGATGGGTTTTCTTTGGAGATAGGGTCTCACAAACTATTTGCCCAGGCTGGCTTTGAACCATGATCTTCCTGATTTCTGCCTCCTGAGTAGCTAGGATTATAGGCGTGAGCCACCAGTGCCCAGCATTGGAACTCCCATTTTTTGCATGAGCAAGCTGAGGATCTGGGACCAGCTCCCAGCAGGCATGTGTCCATTACAAAACTCACGTTTTTAATCCTTTGTCATGTAGCCTCTGAGCAGGAACAAATGGGGCTGCCCACCCAACTGATCAGCACCCACATATCCTTTTTGCTGAGGCCTGACCAGAGGGCTTGCAGCAAGGTCCCTGACAATGATGTTGGTTGTGTTAAAGGTTTGGCCACAGGAGAATCTGATGAGCTGTTGGGTGACACAGATCCTCTCGAAATGGAAATCAAGTGGCTCCATTCCCCGATGGTGAAAATAGCAGATGCCCTTGAAAATAAAACCACTGTCTACAAGGTACCTGTCTGCTTCTTCATGATAGCCCTCTACCTGGGGTTCTGGGAGGTGGTTAGTCCCTTCCACTGAGCTACGAGTTAGTGAGGTATGAGTGGTGCCAACTCCCTCAGTGCTGGTTGCAGCCCATAGAACAGGTAACACTATCTCATCACCCAGTTGTTCACCTGGTATCCTAAGATCCCATACATTGTTAGTCACCAAGTCCCATGGCTTCTCCCTCCCTAAGCTCTTGAGAATCTGTCAGTTCCTTTTCATCTCTGCCATTCCTATAACCATAGAATAAGCTTCTAGTCTTCAGCTTACCTGGATTTTTGGTGTCTCTGTCTCTCTCTCTTTTTTTTGGTGATATTGGCGTTTGAACCCAGAGACTTGTAGGTAGGCACTCTACCACTTGAGCCACAAATCCATCCCTTTTTGCTTTAGTTTTACTTCTCAGGTTGGGTCTCATACTTTTTGCCAGCACCAGCCTCTAACCACAATCCTTCTACCTCCACTTTTTGTATAGCTGGGATTACAGAAGTGGACTGCTATGCCTGGCTTGTTTGTTGAAATGGGGTCTTGCTGACTTTTTGCCCAGGCTGGCCTCAAACTGTAGTCTCTGCCTTCCACATAGTTGGTGTGAGTCACTGTGTCCTGGCTGCCCCGTGGTTTCCAATGGCCCAAACTGGCCATGTTACCTCACCTATTTAAACTTCTTTCCTGGCTCCCCAGTACCTACATAATCAAGTCCTTATGTCTGAGGCCTACTCTTCAAGACCTGTATGTGACTCCAGGCTTTTTTTTTGTAGCCATTACTTCTGACAGTCCCCCCTCATCTCTGCCCTTCCAAAGTTCAGGTTTTAGTAGATTTTAGATACAGACATCCGCACTCTGATGCACTTGGGGTGGTGGCAGCTGTGGGGGTGGATGTTAGGACAGCATGGATCTAAGGGCTCTGATACAATACCTGGGGGTCAGGGAAGTCTCCTTGAGCCACATTTTGAAGGCTGAGTTCTCTGGGCAGGGGGTTAGACCATGCTTATGCATTGGCCCAAATGGATGAGAGTGTGGGGTTTTAAGGAAATGACTGGTGCTATGAAGTGGCTGGAATGGGAAATGGGAACGCGGAGTCTGGGGTCCGATTACAGAATGCCTTGACTTTGACTACACCACAGGCAGCAGGAAAACACTAAAAGTTATTTTTTTCTGGGTCACAGTTTTTTCCCCATTTTGGTTATTGTTTTTTTCTTTTTCTTTTTTAACTGGGTAATATGTGTACTAAAGGGTGGATAGTGAAAAGTAAGTTTTCATCCTACTTCTTGTGCCCTCCTTAGAGACAGTCACTATTAGCAGGCTTTTGGATGTCCTTTCAGTGCAGTTCCATACTTATATGCACATAAAAGTAGCTGCAGATAACTATTTTATTTTACTGCTTTGGCCATGCTGGGATGGAACCTAAGACAAATGCTGTGCCACCAGGCTACATCCCCTGCACCAGATAACTTTTAATTATAATGGTGGCATCCTGGACTGGAGTTGTGGCTCAAATGGTAAAGCTTCTGAGGTGGGAGGGAAAAAAAGGACACAAAATGGTAGCATGGGATTCTTGTTGTTCTGCACTTCGCTTATTTCATCTTGGAGATTGTTCCACATGATTACATTAAGAACTGTCCTTTGTTTTTCATGGCTACATGATATCTGGAAGGCTTTCTTAAGCAAGGAAGTAATAAGGTCAGGCTTGTATATTAGAACAATAACTTAGAAAGAGGAGGGCTGGGGTGGGGTCAGTGAGTTCAGGAAGGAAGCTAGCCCCTCCTCAGTCCATAAGAGAAGGTGAAGTCTGAACTTGAGCAGTGACAGAAATCACAACATTCCCATCCTCACATAATTTCAGAGGTTTCTCCACTGCTCAGAGGAAAACAAGTGTGAAGTTGTGTTTTATGGTTAATATTTTTCACCGAGAATGTATCATTATATCTCATAAACCAGTAAGTGGTTTCCTCTTTTATATACTACAAATCCTAGGCTTAGTCTAGGTCCCTCAACAGGGCCACTCATTGCACAACTCCACGATACTGTTTAGGTATACTGTGTTGTGAATGGTGTCAATGCTACCAACCCCAATGTGGTACAGTGTGGTAGTTTTGCTCAGACACACCCATATTGTCTTTTCCCTACTACAGGGTATTGGGTGGTCATACACATAGGCTTTGGGAGCCCAACTGCTTGGGTTCTAATTTATTCCACTGCTTACCAGCTGTGTGACCTCAGATGTCTTGTTTGTCATAGCATTCTTACAAGGATTAAATTAATTAATACCTATGCACGAAGGAGTTAATACAGTCACACAATGCTTAACAATGAGAATATGTTGAAAGGTGCATTGTTAGGTGATTTCGTTACTGTGCACATATCTTTGCGTGTACTTGCACAAAGTAAGACAGCTATAACAGGCAGTATAATCTCATGGGACTACCATTGTATATGTAGCCCATTGTTGCCTGAACCATCTTTATATGGCACATGACTACATATGTACTTATGTATGTAGATGCATAGAATGGTACCTGGTACATACTAAGCTTCCTGTTAATACTGGCTTTTACTACTCATATGTTCCTCTGACTCCTGCCACACAGATACCCTTTTTGGTGTCCATGGATACCCTGTGTTTTCCCAGTGTTCAGTCAGGAGTGACCCTCCTCATCCAGTTACCACTATGTTGACCACCACCATTGCCCCCAGCCTCTTAGTCACTCATCTTTCATGTCCCTAATGGGCAAATAGTATACTCTGACTTGTATGATTGTAGTTGCATCCTCCTTAGTGTGGTTGCTCCCTAAAGGTAGAACTGAGTCTGACTCATTTCTCCACCTCCAACATTGTCCCCATAGAGCTGGGCATAAAATAAGTGTCAGAAAATATTTGTTGAGTAAGACCTTGAAGGGTCACTTAGCAAAGGATCATTTAATAACCAGTTGTCATTGATTAAGCAACTCTACTTTAAAAATTTTATTCTTGTAAAAGCCATGTAAGCTATCCATTATCTACCCCAGTTTTTTTGTGTGGAAGGGGGCTGGGGTTTGAACTCAGGGCTTTGTGCTTGCAAAGCAGGTGCTCTACCACTTGAGCCACACCTCCAGTCCATTTTGCTGTGGTTAATTTGGAGGTGGGGTCTTGCAAACTACTTGCCCAGGCTGGCCTTGAACTGTGATCCTCCTGATCTCACCCTGCCAAGTAGCTAGGATTATAGGTGTAAGTCACCAGCACCCAGCACCCACCCCCATTTGATAGTTGAACACACTGAGGCTGAGAGGTGAACTAAGAACCTACTAGTATGTGGTGGAGCCAGAATTGGAACCTATTTTCTGTATGGCTCTAGGTTCCCTCTTTTTATCCAAGCCTTCCCCTGCCTCCTCTGCAGAAGTCTTTGCATGTCTTCTGGAAATCAAGACCTCACCATTATACTCTTTCTCTCCCCAGATTGGAGACCTTACTGGGTATTGCACAAATCCAAACCGTCAACAGTTAGGGTGGGCTAAACGTAATGTAGACTACCACTGCCCCAAGAATAATGGTGTGGTAAATGTCAGCTCAGTGGACCGCCGCCCGATGCTGCAGAGGATCATGGAGACAGACCCACTGCAACAAGGCCAGGCTCTAGCATCCGCCCTGAAGAATAAGAAGAAGATGCAGAAGCGTACAGGTGGGAGTACCTGACCACTCCTATGCTCTGGAAAGGGCTACCTGGGGCTTGGATTAGAGGTTCCTGAATAAGCATCTCTGTGTGTCCAGTTCCAGGCTTAGGTTAGGGTGCGGGAATGCTCAACTACTAGCAAGTGGTTCTCAAACTTAAGCTTGCATCAGAATCACCAGGAGGAGGGTTTGGTAAAACAGATTTCAAGGGCCAGGGATGTAGCTCAGTGGTAGAGTGCTTGCCTCTCGCATGTGAATGGTTTGATCCCCAGCCCAAACAAACAAATAAATAAAACAAAACAACCAACTAAAATACTCCACAGATTTCTGGGGACCACAGTTAGAGAACCACTAGCCATGTCATATAGCCACGTTTATCAGGTGCTTTCTATGTGTTAGGTAGTAACAGCCTATATATAATTTTTGCTGTACTAATAGGTAGTACACTCAAAATCTTAAAGGATATACACTAAAATCTCTCTCCAGGCCTCCCCTCTTAGGCAACCAGTTAGTTTCTTGTATCACTTTCCCGAAATAGATGCATAAACAAATACCTATATATTCTAGTCCACTGAGCACAGTTTTGCCTCATCATTTCAATTTGTCTTAGGATTATTTCCACGTTAATACACAGGAAAACTTTCCCCCTTCATTTTAATGGAGATCAGTTATATACTTGGCCCATTCAGGGTCTTTATACTATGTAATTGGTCCTCCATATGCCTGACTTCTGTATCACAGCTTCAACCAACTGAAAGTCAAAAATATTTTTAAAAATTGCATCTGTACTGAATATATACAGAATATATTTCTTGTCATTATTCCCTAAACAACACAGTGTAACAAGTATTTACGTTGTATTAGATATCGGAAGTAATCTAGAAATGTATACAGGAGAGTGTGTGCAGGTTATACGCAGATACTTTGCCATTTTATACTGAATCTGTGCATTTGTTACCCTCTAAATTCCCCATGGATCCTGAGTGATGATTGTACTTAACTTCACTAACTCATTGCAAAAATGTTAACCTCATTTGGCAAGTGAGGAAACTGAGGCCCACACACATTAAGTGACAAATTCAAGGTAAGATAACTAGTAATTGATGGAAGACAAAATGCATACCTAGGTAGGACTGATTGACCCTGTCAACCTTATATATGTTTAACTAGGCCATATTTCATAACTAAACATTTACTTGTGGCCTGACTCCACACTGAATTTTGGGAATCCAGGGATGAATTGCCCTTTAACTCCTACTCTCTTGTTAGGAAGTGGGGAGGAGACAGAACAGACATTGACAGTGCAGAGTGGTTACTCTGAAGACACAGGAGGCAGTGTGAGGGAACCTAACTTAGCCTGGGGTGGTGGTTAGGTAGGAGTGATCAGAAAAGATTTCCTGGAGAGGGTAGTCTTAGGGAATCTTGAGGAATAACAGGTGTGTCTAGAGAATGGGATGTGTGAGTGCGTGAACATTCAGGTTCAAAGCCAGTACTGCAGTGCTGCTCCTTTGCTGTGAGAGCTTTGGGGGATAATGGTGGAGTGCCAAGTTCATATGGTAGAGGAAAACTACTATTTTGTTACTTGGAAGGCACAAAAGTACTTGTAGCACTAGGGGTTTGAAATCCTGAGTTAGAAGCTATGTGATCAATTCACAGATAGACAAATGTATCTTCCTGTGAAGTTGAATGCCCACAGCCCACTAGTTGTTTTGTTTAGTGTTTGGGGGTACTTGAGCCAGTTTGGGAGCTTTGTGTAGACCAAGCTAGTTGTAGGGCAGTTGTGTAAGGCCTTCTTTTGGCAAACTAGTCACTAAAAGATTGCTTGTATTTCTCCATCTGCAGATAAAATTGCCAGCAAGCTGTCTGATTCCATGATGTCTGCCCTCGACCTTTCTGGCAATGGTGATGACAGTGCTGGTGACTGAATGGCTGATCTTTCCCCTCCCTCCAAGCAAGGGTTCCTGTGGTATGGGGGAATTCAGATGAAGGGGACTGGTTCTCCCACATCTCCCACACCACTGTTCCCATTATTATCTCCAGTAAAAAGTGTTCCCAGAGGCTGGAGCTGCCAGACCCAGTACCCTGTATTTAATTCCTGTTGTGTTTTCCAAGAGAAACATCAGTAGAACCCAAGCGCTTACAATGTAGCCCTACCCTCAATCCCAGTGTCCCACTCTGTAGCTTGATCTAAGGGCTGACCTCCCATAACCATCTTGGACAGGTGTATGTACAAACTAGAGACTAGACTGCTGATAGACCTGGGCATCCCTGGGAAGATTTTTTTTTTTTTTTTTTACTATTTGACAAGCGAGCTCAGTGCCAAGCCTTTCTGCAATGGTCTGGCCATGTATCTCTTTCCAGGTCCACAGGTCCTTACCTGGGTGGCAGTTGGGGGAAGAGGAGAACAGTGATGAGCCTTCTTTCTTTGGCAGGTCTGGGGATAGAATAGAGGGAAAGAAGAGAATGCTGCTGTATATGTTAAAAAACAAGGCACCTGTTGGAAGGGAGACTGGGTGCTTTAGGGGCAAGTCCCATATTGTCATTTGTGTGAATTTGGAGGAATCCCTTTAACTGAAGTAATCTGGCTGGGCCTCATCTTTATGTGACCTTGTCTCATCCAATGCCAGCATTTTGAATTCCATGATTCAAGAGGGTTCTGGTACCATTTATTCAGAGTGGTCTTCAAGAGAGTTGCTATAGTTGGGAGTGTATGAGCCAACTCTTCTTCCAAGTGTCTGCAAGCCATCCCATTGGAGTATAAGCTACCAACTCTGGGAGATCTTACCCCATCAGGAAGGGGCAGCAGGTCTTTGCAGTACTAGGGGCCTTGTATTAGCTTGTCATCTGTACGAAATACTTGGAAGTAACCAACTTATAAAGAGAAAAGGTTGATTTTGGCTTACAGCTTTAGAAGTTCCAGTCCATGATTGATTGGCTCCATTGGTTTGATCCTGTGATAAGGCAGTGTGTGGTACAGCAGACTCCCTTACCTCATGACCAGGAAGCATAGAAAAAAAAGGCCTGGGGTACCACATCAAGGACATGTCCCCAGTGACCTAAGGGTCTCTTGCCAGGCCCTCACCTCTTAATTTCCTGCACCTCCCACTAGTGCTACCCTGGGTGCAACCCTTTAACACATGGGTCTTTGGGGAACACTTGAGATCCGAACTCTAGCAAGGCATGAGATTGTTTTGTAATAACAGTCCCACTTCACTAGGGATTTTTGTTTCATGTACACAGCTTCTCTTCAGAGTTGACACATTTGAAGGAGGTGGGCATTACATTACTCCAGTCTTTGCCACCTACCCCAGACTTTCATACCACTCTTGGACCCATGCATACACTTTAGTTTTGGCCTTGCCTTTGTTTCTCAGGCTGACACCTCCTAATTTATCTAACCAGATCTTATGAGGACAAATATGACAGGAACTAGGAAGCCATTGGCTGTAGGATGTTCAGGCAGGGAAGTGCAAACCACTTCTGCATTCAGGGGCAGCCAAAGGAAAATTGTGTACTGATTGAGCACAAACCATGGAGCGCCAGGATTTCGGTACCTCCATTAACCCATCGTACAGTTCTGCCAGTAAAGGATTAGGCTCAGAAAGTTGACAGAATATTCTCAAGACAACATTAAGCGGTGGTGCCAGGTTTGGAACACAAATTAATTAAAATCCTATGCCAGCATTTTCTTCTGCTTTGTACTACCTTCTAAACAAAGGCATGTTGATTAATTATCTGTGTGTCAGCCCCTGTTATTGAGTCCTTTAAATGCATTTTCTCTTTCTTGATTTTTTTTTAAAAAACTAGTAGTGTCTTGCTAGAGCTGTGCTCTCAAGAGTCTCCTTGAATGGGATCAAACTTATATTACACTATATCATCAAAATCTCCTGGTGGCTAATAGTGTTAAAATGAACAGTTGGATACCAGGAAAGCCAAGGCCACTTTGCAACTGTATGGAGTATCCTAATTTAAGACTTAAAATATTTTCTACTACTGGGGCCAGGCATGGAGGCTTCTGGGTCTAATCCTAGTGATTCAGGAGGCGTTGTTCAGAAGGATCATGGTTTGATGACAGACTGGGCAAAAAGTTGGTGAGATTACATCTCAACATACAATTTTCTATGATTAAGTAGTATTAATAAATACCACTAACAGAAGTGTGTAGATGAGTAAGATACAGCATGGGATTTGGCCAAAATCAAACAAGAACTAAAGTAGTTATGGCAGGATAAGAATTTGGGACTCCAGACGTTCTATCTACAGCATATCTCACGTTTTAACGTTTTATTTCAAGGGTCTCTATAGCTTAGGCTGGCCTACTACAGCCTCCCAAGTGCTAGGATTACAAGTGTATCCCACCACATCTGGCTAAATCTCATACTTCCTCCCACTCACTCCCTACCCCCAGTGATGGGGATTGAACCCTAGAATGTGCACATTCTACCACAGCTACACTGTCAGCCCTCAAGTTTAAAAAAAAGCAGTTTTTCAGTCTTTTTTTTTTAATTAAGGTATACTTTACATATAGTAAAGTTCATCCTTTAAGTTCTGTAGGTTTGGACATATGTATTCAGTGGTAAACTGCCACCACAATCAAGATACAGAGTATTTGCATCACCACCCAAAACTCTATGGACCCCTTTGTAGTCAACCCTTCCTCCTATCCTCAAATCCTGGCAGTTACTGTTTTCTGTCCCCATGGTTTTGCTTTAGCATAAATGGCATATAAATAGAATCATGGTCAGGTAAGCTTACTTGATATCAGTAGGTTTTTAAACTTTTATTTTAAAATACACATTTGAGTAAAATCTCCTGTGGTGTATAGTTCTAGCTGTGTAACCACTAACACTGTCAAGGAACAGAACAGTTCTATTAACCCAATCACACCAAATTAATTTCTTGCTACTTTCTAGTCAAATCCATTTCCCTCCACCTAACCTCTGACGATCACTGATTTGTTCTTTGACTTTGTAGTTTGTTTTGAAGAATGTCCTATAAGTGGAATTATATAGTATGTAACTTTTTGAGAATAAGTTGCTATGAATAATGTATTTGAGATTTATCCATGCTGTTAGTTGTACCAATAATTTGTATTTCTGAGTCTTACCCTATTGTGTGAACATACTACCATTTATCCATTCCCGAATTGAAGGACATTTTGGTTCTTTTGAGTTTGGGGAGATTATGAATAAAGCTGCTATAAATATTTACTTATGACTTTCTGTGTTTTCATTTCTCTAGAGTAACTACCTAGTGCTGAATTGCTGAGACATTAGGGTATGAACATTTCAGTTCCATATCCTCAGGTTGTTTCATTTTTTTTAGTGCTGGGAATGAAACTCAGGAATTTGAGCATGCTACATCCCCAGGTTTTTTTTTGTGTGGGACTGGAACTTGAACTCAGGGCTTTGCACTTAGATAGCAGGTGCTCTACTGTTTGAGCCACACCTCCAGTCCATTTTGCTCTGGTTATTTTAGAGGTGGGAGTCTCACAAACTATTTGCTCAGGCTGGACTGGAGCCACAATCCTCCTGATCTCTACCTCCCAAGTAGCTAGGATTATATGCATGAGCCACTGGTGCCCGGCTCTATTGTCAGTTTTTGGTATTAGCTATTCTAATGGGCATGCAGTGGTATCTCATTGTGGTTTTCTTTTTTTTTTTTTTGCAGTGGTACTGGGGTTTGATCTCATGGTCTCACACTTGCTAGGTAGGCACTCTACCCCCGAGCCACTCCACCAGCCCTCATGGTGGTTTTGATTTGCATTTCCCTAACGATAAATGATACTGAGCACATTTCATGTGCTTATTTACCATCCAGATATCTGTCTTCTTTTGTGAAATGTTCAAATCTCTTGCACATTTATTTTTTTCAGTGCTGAGGATCAAACCCAAGGTCCTTTTTCAAGTGCTATACCACTGAGCAACACCACCTACCCCTCTCTTGCCTATTTTCTATTGGATTGTTTTATTACTGTTGCGTTTTGAAGATTCTATGCTGGATAAAGTTCTTTATCAGATAACATGTTTTTTAATATTTTTTCCCAGTCTGTGGCTTACCTTTTTTGTGTGGCTTATCTTTTCATTCTTTAAACTTTCTTTTTTCATTATGGAAAAGCTTTATTGACATTTATTTTTTAAAATTGTGGCAAAATATACAAAACATAAAAGTTACCATCTTAACCATTTTAAGTGCTCAGTGACTGAAGTGAACCCATGTTACGGTGCAACCATCTCCAGCATCCATCTCTAGAACTCTTCATCTTACATAGCCGAAATCTGTGCCCATTAAATAATGACCTCACTTTCCTTCCACTCAACCCCTAGCAACTTTCTGTCTCTGCATTTGATTACACTAGGAACCTTACATAAGTGCAATCGTATAATATTTGTCTTTGTGTGACTGGCACATTTCAGTTAGCATAATGTCTTCAAAGTTCATCCATATAATGTATGTCATAATTTCCTCCCTTGTTTTTTGGTGTACTCGAGTTTGAACTCAGCCCTTCGTGTTTACAAAGCTGGTGCTCTACCACTTGAACCATACCTCCTATTCATGTCCCCCCCCCCACCTCTGGTTCTTTTGGAGATAAGACTTCTCAAATTATTTGCTCTGGCTGGCCTCAAACTGCAAGCCTCCTGATCTTGGCCTCCCAAATAGGATTACAGGCATGAGCCCTTGGCACTGGCTTATAAGAAGTTTTTTTTTTGTAGTTTTTTTTTTCTGGGGGGTGGCGCATTACTGGGGCTTGAACTCAGGGCCTCATGCTTGCTAGGCAGGTGATCTTACTGCTTGAGCCACTCTGCCAGCCAATTTACTCCCTTCTTAAGGCTGAATAATATTTCATTGTATGTATATCACCTTGTTCAGCTTCCAAGGTATAGTTTACAAATATATATTTAAGACCTATGATGTGATTGCTTTATTTAAGTGGTGCTGGGGATGAAACTAGAACTCATGCATGCTAAGCAAGCACTCTACCACTGAGCTACATTTCTAGCCCGTAAGAGTTCAATATTTTAGGACTCAACATATAAGTGAGATCCTGCAATATTTATCTTTCTGTGTCTGGCTTATTTCACTTGGCATAATCTTGTCCAGGCTCACTTATGTTGTCATGAATGGCAGAATATTCATGTATACACATGCACATATATACATGCACCAACCATATTTTTTTATCCATTCATCTATCTACAGGAAATCAGATTGTTTTAATATTTTGGCTGTTGTGAATAACAATGCAATGAATGTGAAAGTGCAGATATCTCTTAGGGATTATACTTCCTGTGGACATATACCTGGAACCACACGATAACTCTATTTTTTGGGGGAATCTCCATTCTGTTTTCCATAATAGCTGTACTAATTTACATTCCCACCAGCAGTGTATAAGAGTTCCTCTTAGGGGTTGGAGTGTGGCTCAAGTGGTAGAACACCTGCTTAGTAAGCATGAGGCCCTGAGTTCGAACCCCAGTACTGCCAAAATAAAAGAGTTCCTCTTTCTCTGCATCCTCTCTAAAATTGGTCTCTGGCTCTATTTTATTTTATTGTTTTTGCATTTACTTGCATGTGTATACATTGTTTAGGCCACCTCCCCTCCCTCACCCCCACCCCCTGCTCCCAGGCACAACCTGTTCTGCCCTCTTGTTTTTCGATTTTGTTGAAGAGAAAACACAAGAGATAAGAAAGATACAGCATTTTGCTAGTTTGAGATAAAGATGGCTATATAGAGAGATTCCTAGCTTTGCTTCCACGCACTTGTGTATTGCAACCCACGTTGGTTTATCTCTGCCAGACCTCTTCACTACTTCCTAGTCCCCTTCCCATAGTGACCTCTGCCAGTTTAAGATCACTATATTCAATCCTCTACGTGAACACATCAACCACATTCAAGTTTTAGGTTATTTTCCCTTTCCCTATTCCTCCCATGCGTGTTCTCCCCTTAGTGTGTGACCCATGTCCAATAATATAACTGCATTTGTTTTAGGTCTATAGTCTGCATATGAGGGAGAACATAAGATTTTTGGCCTTCTGAGCCTGGCTAACTTCGCTTAAGATAATGTTCTCCATTTCCATCCATTTACTTATGAATGACAAAATTCATTCTTCTCTGTGGGTGAGTAAAATTCCATTGTGTATAAATACATTTTCTCAATCCATTTGTTACTAGTGAGGCATCTTTGCTGTTTCCATAGCTTGGCTATTGTGAATAGTGCTGTAATAAACATGGGTGTGCAGGTGCCTCTGGAATAACCTGAATCACATTCCTTTGGGTATATCCCTAGGAGTGGTATTGCTGGATCATATGGCAGATCTATGTTTTAGTTTTTTAAGGAGCCTCCATATTGTTTTTCAAAGTGGTTGTACTAGCCTACATTCCCACCAGCAGTGTATGAAGGTTCCTTTTCCCCCGCATCCTCACCAACATTTGTTGTTCTCGGTGTTTTTGATGATAGCTATTCTAACAGGGGTGAGGTGGAATCTTAGTGTGGTTTTGATTTGCATTTCCTTTATGGCCAGGGATGGTGAGCATTTTTTCATGTGTTTTTTTGGTCATTTGGACTTCTTCCTTTGAAAATATTCTGTATAGTTCAGTTGCCCACTTCTTTATTGGTTCATTGATTCTTGGGGAATTAAGCTTCCTGTATATTCTGGTTATCAGTCCTTTGATGTATAGCTAGCAAATATTTTTTCCCACTCTGTGGGTGGTCTGCTTCAGTTTAGAGACCATTTTTTTTGTTGTGCAGAAGCTTTTTAATTCCCTGTAGTTCCATTTGTCTACCCTTTCTCTTTGTTGCCGGGCTGATGGAGTTCTACTGAGGAAGTCCTTGCCTGTATCTGTTGCTTCCAGAGTATTCCCTGCTCTTTCCTGTACTAACTGAAAGGTTTTGGGTCTGATATTAAGGTCTTTAATCCACTTTGAGTTGATATTAGTACAGGTGACAAACAAGTATCTAGTTTCAGTTTTCTGCAGGCAGATAACCACTTTTCCCAGCAACATTTGTTGAAGAGGCTGTCTATTCTCCATCGTATGTTTTTGGCGCCTTTGTCAAAAATAAGGTGGATGTAGCTGTGTGGATTCATATCTGGGTCCTCTGTTCTGTTCCACTGGTCTTCATATCTCTTTTTGTGCCAGTACCATGCTGTTTTTACTGCTGTGGCTTTGTAATACAGTTTGAAGTCGGGTATTGTAATACCTCTAGCATTGCTCTTTTTGTTGAGTATTGCCTTGGCTATTTGCAGTCTTTTGTGTTTCCAAATGAACTTTAGGGTAGACTTCTCAACCTCTGTGATGAATGTTATTAGGATTTTGATGGGAATTATGTTGAACATGTAGATTGCTTTTTGGTAGTATAGCCATTTTTACTATGTTGATTCTTCTAATCCATGAGCACGGGAGATCTCTCCACCTTCCGTAGTCTTGGATCTCCTTCTTCAGTGGTTTGTAGTTCTCCTTATAGTGGTTATTTACATCATTTGTTAAGTTTAAGTTTATTCCTAGGTATTTGATTTTTTTCTGAGGCTATTGTAAATGGAATTGTTTTCCTGTATTCTTTCTCAATTTGTTCATTGTTGGTGTATAGAAAGGCTACTGACTTTTGAAAGTTGATTTTGAATCCTGCCACATTGCTGAAGCTGTTTATGGTGTCTAGGAGTTTTTGGGTCTTTGAGGTATAGGATCATGTCATCTGCAAATAAGGATACTTTGACATTTTCTTTACCTATTTGTATTCCTTTTATTTCTTCTTCTTGCCTAATTGCTCTGGCTAGGAATTCCAGGACTGTGTTGAATAGGAGTGGGGATAGTAGGTACCCTTTTCTCATTCCTGACTTTAGGGGAAATGGTTTCAGTTTTTCTCCATTAAGTGTGATGTTGGCTATAGGTCTGCCGTATATAGCCTTTATAATGTTGAGGTACTTTCCTTCTATTCCTAGTTTTCTTAGAGCTTTTATCATGAAGTGGTGTTGAATCTTATCAAAGGCTTTTTCTGCATCTATTGAGATGATCAAGTGTTTGTTTGTTTGCTTTTGCAGTACTGGGGTTTGAACTCAGGGCCTACACCTTGAGCCACTCCACCAGCCCTTTTTTGTGTTAGGTATTTTCGAGATAGGGTCTCATGGAATTAATTGCTCAGGGATGGCTTTGAACCGCAATCCTCCTGATCTCTGCCTCCTGAGTAACTAGGATT